CTATTTCGCAAAAGTATTTGAAGAATCAAAACGCATACAATCTTTTCCATCATTAACGTAAGATATGCCTTTAAATGAAAAAGAAAATTCAATTAATGCAGAGATCCTGGAGTTCAAGGCTTTCGCTATTTTAGCAGAGATCAGTACCTCTCCTGCTGGTATTGCTGCTCTAAACAAAAGGCACACAAATAAATAAAAAATAATCCACTGCTTCGGAAAACCTTAGCAAATAATAATGCAGAGTTAAGAATAAGAAGTACTCGCTACATATTCTCAAACCGTCACGCTCAATTGAGTTCGAGAATTTTATGCTCCTCTCTTTTCCCTAGGGCCTCTCATACCTCCAGCACCAACATCGTCACACTTAAAGGCAAACTTTGGGATAAAATAGGTGTGAAAGAGCGTTCACTAGTAAAGCTAGAGGTGGGGATTGGTCTGGAAAAGGAAAAAAGCAAGAGAATTCTCCGATTACGCTTCATATAGAGACCTCTCCATTTCAGCCGCATTTTCCACTTGGGGATGGAGAAGGGGGCGTGTTGCGCATCAGTTCCACGAACTAGCAACAGCTTACTCAAGAGTCAATGGCGCTGAACGCAATGCAATTTTGCGGCGCGGTGCTGCCGGCTCGCTCCAGTGTCGTGACCGCCGTCACGATGTGCGACGTGATGAAGGCGGGCTGAGAGGAAAGCGCGAGATAAAAGGACGATGAGTTGTGTAAAAGAGCTTCTGCTTCTTCTTCGGCCTCATTCCTTCGATTCTTCTATCTCTTATCTCCGCTCATGTGTCTCGTCGAGTCTAGGATCGGTTACGCAGTAGGTCATGAGAATGATTCTCTCGATCGTATTAATGGATTGATTGATCAAATAAATTTGTGTTTATTCTTTATCTGTTGTATGACGGCATGAGCCACCGTACATGTTACACCGAGGTACGAACATTGGCTGCTCGGCCGGGAATCGAACCGGCCGCCGCGTGGAGGCGAGAAATTCTTTACACTGAACCGTACAAGGTTACGAGGCTCACGAACACTCACCTTCGCAATCGGCTGTGCTAAGGCACTGAAAGACTAAGCGCGGAGATGAAAGTACCAGGAGAATGAGCACAACAGATGAGAGGGCGCCAGGCAACAGCTGATAAGTAATAAAAGATTCAGCTGCACACTTTCCCTTCATTTGCAGGCACTAGCCACTGTTGTGAGTTGATGTTTTCGTGCACATGGAATGTCTTGCATCTTGCGACTCTCTTCAGAGGTGGGTACCGACAGGAGGCCGTCTCTTAACAAGACTTAGCAGACGACCCGCAGCGCGTACTGTAGAGATTTCGTGTCAATTTAGAAAGACTGTGTAATGTATGAGACGTCCTACATTGCACATTACACGCTACGACTCGTCCGCCGATTCTGCCTTCTTGCCGTGGACGGGCCTCCTGCCGAGTACCCTCTAGAGGTACATACTACAGATCGGATTCGTTCGCACTTCGCACGATCTCTGCTTTGAAAGGAAATGGGTATCTCTCCCAGCGGATCAATGGACTCCCCTTGTAATGCATGATCGCGAAATTTGCTCGACCACCCGCGACGTAAGCAAACCAGCCCTTTTGGCACATTCGGCTGGGACCGTATGCTGAATGTTGGGGAGGGGATGGGGTCCCCAACGGTCGACGGTTTACTTCAACTCGGTTGGTACGATAGGAGAGTACTGACGCAAGTGGTGCAGCTGGTCCAGCAGCTCGCCAGAAGGACTGGTTTGCTCACCCTTGGACTAAGCCTAGGAGAGGGGACGGACCCGTCCTCTCTTTAAGGCTTAGTTCTGAGGTAAGCACCAAATTGTGGCGGTTCTAAGGACCGAGTTGAAGTTGGTCCGTCCACCGTCGGGGACTCCATCCCCTCCCCAACATTCAGCATACGGTCCCAGCCGATGCGCCAAAAGGGCTGGTTTGCTTACGTCCCCAAGCGCTAAGCATTCTTCACGATTAGATTGACTGTTTATTCTTAATACAGTGCACCTTGGATATTTAGGGATGGCCGACTAGATGCCTAACCAAGAGGAGGCAAACGTGCCAAGCTGAAAGTGTTCTAGGGTGTTGGAAGATAGCTTTTAGCCTAATGTAATCAAATTCTGCCTTTGGCGATGAGTCAATATTAAGTGATTTCCTATTATAGTAGTTGTCAGCTTCACAAGAATGCTGGGTTGTGAACAAAACTTCACAGGTGCGAGTTCTAGTCCCGCCTGGGGCGAAAGTTTTGTTCACATAACCAGCATTCTTGTGAAACATTCGCAAGGCGAACTGCGGCCAAAAACAGCAGTTAACAAACAAAAAAGTTAGTTATCAGCGTTAGTTCCGGTTTTGTGTTTTCGCTCGCGTCGTTCGTGTTTACCCCTTTGACTAACGTTAGTAAAATTGGTGGTATGCCCATCCCTTATCAAGGGTATCACCCATTTTTGACATACTTTTCTTGAAAACGAGGGGGAGTATGCGTAATATTTTTGTATTAGTGGTTTCAGTGTAAGCTTAATTTATCATATCAGCTGCTGCCTAAACAATCAGAAGTTGATAAGAGAAAATTGGATTTTTCGCAGATGTTAGGTGAAGGTGAAACAGACAAAGATCTGGAGGGAGGTACTTGTGATATTACCGGCTCATTTCCAACATCGAATGTACGGTGATCGCGGATTGAATGGAAAGCAGAATTGGGGGAAATTCGCGCAGGCGGCTTCCAGGGCCACCCTTCAGTAGAGGGTTTGTTTCGCGTATGAGTATCGTAGCACTAGTTCTCTGATTTTTGGGACTTTGACAAGGCCGCGCTCGGGTGAATTACATCGTCAATCTTAACTTTGCACCCGTGTTTGGTGGCCCTCCGGGAGGCCGACTTCGTCGAAACGTGGTAGACGATTGATAAATGTTCCCACCCTATCAACCTCGAACGGCAGAAAAAACAAAAATAGGAAAAGTGCCGAGCTTGCAAGAAGAGAGAAGCTGGAAGCTATCGAGCTCTAGTTAGTTCCAGAACACTCACTACATCCCATGACAGAATTTGCTCCATCCTAAAGTCTGATTTCGCGGTGTGGGCTGAACAGTGGGTAAGTGTAGTGCAAGAAGGGCTGCTACCGCGTGCGTAGCCCGGGGATCAAATCCTGGACACCAACTCGCCATGCTAACTACAGCTCAACAGTTTGCTTAATCATTTCTAGAGGCAAATATTGCTATATAAAATAAAGCACATAAGTGGATTTATTTTTGAAAAATAGTAGTCTAAACGTAAAAAGCATAAAATGCTGCAGACGCGCAATAGCGCTGAAGCGGCAAAAGTCTATGTGCGTCAACCCTTCTTTTGGTTCACAAGACATAATAAGCATATTTCGTGAAGGTTCCAAATAATACGATATCCAACTATTCTGTTTTGAGCGAAATCCCGCAATCCGCATCCATTGCAGCTACAGTAAGCCACAAAACCTGAAAATAGAAAATATAACTACCACGCAATAAAAACCAACGTTTTAAAATAACAGACATATACAAATTATGGCAAGCACATGCTGAAATTAATCAAAAATGCGAACAGTACCAATAAATCGGCGGACGAAAAGATCAAGAAGCTGTCACATACAGTTTCCAGCGTCATTACACACACTTTAGGAACAAGGTCAGAAGCTCTTTGAGAACCCAGTGGTGAGGTCTATCGTAGCCCTCTTAAGTACCTCTCCTATCCCCCCCCCCTCCCCAAATTTGCTACGATGTACTTGTCATGGGAGTAAGATGAATAACTCTGTGTCACATCAATGGGACATAAAACGCAACCGCTTGCCCTCGTTTAGTAATCGAACATGACTGTCAAGTTTAAGGACAGAAGTGCTGGTACTAAAGCGCTGACAAAAACACCGCTACGGAAGAAAAAACATACCTTCGAAAAATTCTTGTCATCGGTTTTACCCCATACCGAAACCAACACACGATTTCTGCGCCATTTGAAAGAATCACAAAATGTCAAGCATTACATCGATAAAACAAATACAGTATGATCGAAGATATTCGAAAAAAAGGAACTCGATCTACTACTTATAAAATGGCAATAAATAATCACATAATTTATTCAATGGGTACTATTGGTACACAAATATTTAGCTTTACTGAAATAATTTGAACACAAATGAAAAGCATAACGAAGTCCGATTTACTATATGAAAAGCTATTGCAATTCAAATTTAACAGCACTACTGAACCGATTTGCTTTAGAACTATAGGTTTAGACATCCCAAAACAATAATTTCTGAACTTCTATAAGAGCATCGTTAGCTGGCTGCCAGCTTCTATACAGAAAAAATGACTGAACATGAAAAATTTGATATCACTCATGTGAAACGAGGAATGAACTTGAAAGTGGTTGGGTACCCGAAAAAGAAGTCAATTGAGACAAGGCCATAAACCAAGACCGTCGCATGAACCTTCAAGACCCCTAGGCCTGTTAGCTATTCTGTCCGAATGGAGAGCTCAAATGAAAAAAAAACAAAGATTCCGATTGAATCAGTTGACGATCCTGACAAGACCCCACAACTGACGTCAGCAAACAGGCGCTGTTGAGGTATCCGCCCGGACATACGACGCATACTTTATTTCAAAGCACGACTTTAACTATATACCAAAAGCTTTGAAACGAAATATACATCAGACTCTCTAAAGCTACGGTCTAGCTTCGCTAACTTATCAGCGCACCAGTGAAGAAACACCGTCGATGGAGATCCGTAGCACGTTGAGAGTAGAAGCCTGTACGAATAAAACTACTACACAAAGAAAAAATAACCTCATAAACTTTCGAGGAGGTCTGTTTGAAACGAATTCGTCTCCTCTTGAAATCTTAACACTTACAATAAAGACTTACCCCGAACGACTTCTGACTTTCAGAGATCACAAGCAGCTAGCAAATGCCCGTAATTGCAGTAATATGGACGTAGAAAGAAACCCGTAGATGAGCAAAAGGCGACACACACATTGAGAAGTTGAGCTCACATGGCGAGCAGCTTACGTAATCGCTGCATCTCCGCGGTCAGCTGATCGGCGAGCGCACGACGCTTAAAGCGACGCGAATCGCGCAAGGCGAAATCAGCCAAATCCAACTGATCCAGCAGAGAACCGTTCGCCGACGTCTCGCGACACAAATCTGTCCACACAGTCCCGTCTGAAAAAAACGAACACATAATTTTATGCCTAATACATATGTTTTACTAGTTATGCTAAGTTGATCAAAATAGCCAACATCATTTTCAATAAAACGTGAACTAATCACACCTCCTCCACCGTTTTAACTAGTTGGATGTAACGCACTGAGAAACCTCAGTCAAGTACGCTACGATAACCTCGGTAAATTAATTCCAGCAACAGAACTGCGCATAAGTTGCAAAGATATATGCATAAAATGCTGCTAACCAGGGAAGGTCATCAGGTCGGTCCGGCCATTAGCAATGAGCTGTATACCGTTGCACTCGCCTCGAGACGCTGAGCTCAAAACTGCCTTCACTATCTGCTAAACGATTCTCTTGAACGGAGTTATAAAGCAAGAAAGCGCAGCGGTAGTGCCCCGGTCTCGCAGGCAAGAGGTGGTGGGAACGGTTTTCCAAGGAGCCTGCTTTTTTGTTTTTCAATGTCAATGTGGCAGAAAAGCTTCTAAATTCGTTAATTTATCAACACTTGCCATTAGTTGCCTGTATGAAGAGTTTGCGAGCAGTTCCCACAACCTCTTGCCTGCGAGACAGGGCACTACCGCTGCGCTTCCTTGCTTTATAACTCCGTTCAAAAAATCGTTTAGCAGATCGGGAAGACAGTTTTGAGCTCAGCGTCTCGAGGCGAGTGCAACGGTATAGAGCTCATTACAAATGGCCAGGCCTGATGACCTTCTCTGGTAAGAAAAAGGCAGCAAATTCCGTATGCCTTTACAATAATAATTGGCTTTAGAACATGTAAAGATAGCAAGCTAGCTGTAAAAAGCGGACGCGACTCATGTATTTTTTTATCACGGAAAGAGTTCTCTTTAAACAGATGTAATCTCTCTTTTTAAACAAAAGAGGACCTGAACCATCTGTAGTCATGAGGTCGATAGCAATCCAGTGAAACCATCGCTTCAGCGGGCTCACTTGAAGAACAAGATTAAAATTATACCTTTTTGAAACTACTAATCGTCATTAGTTCGCTGATAGCTTGATCTTAAACTGTACCCCAAAATACTAAAGTTTTAAATATCGTACTGTTCGCGTGTCGCCGAACGATTTGTGCTATCCGCAGCTTTCGTTCAAACATTTGTTCCTCAGACAATCGCTCGGTTTTCCGCCGCTTTGGTGGGGGCGCAACCACATCTTCTTCCTCTTCTTCATCTGCACTCTCTGCTTCTGGTTCCAATCCTGCTAGCTCTATCTGAAACACGAAACAGGGTGTGCATGCTTTCTTCAGAACCACAAAAAACAAAATAAGACTATGCGAAGAAAGCTTTCCTAATTCAACACGTCAACATCTGAGCAAAAAAAAACGAACCAAAGTTGTTGTGTCTATTCCGTTGGTAACTTCATTCACTGCCATATCATCGAGGACATCGCTGCTTGTGCTGGGCACTTCCAAGTCTAGATCTGACGTATACGACAAGTCGGAAACCACAGAGGACCGTTCGCTTAGCGTTTGCCGTCGTTCCCTGTGTGGTTAACTTGATGATGGGGAGAAGCAATCGAGAAAAGCTCCAGTGTACAAAATTAGATACAAGAAGGAATTAAATACTGCGATTGCTTCAAACCTCCACTGTTGTAAGCAATTAGGAGCCACGGGACCTGGTTTCCTCTTCGGTGGTCGTCCCACCCCCTCCCCCTTCACACGCTCTCTCCTTGATTCCTTCGTTGTTGGCACAGCTGCATTAGCACCAACTGGTCCCTCACCGACCTTAAACAAAAATGCACATGGGGCGCTCATGGTATAGAGCAAGCGGTTCCAGTTTAGAAGCCAACCTCATCTATAGCAAGGCTCTTCTTATCTGTCTTGAATGGATTTCCGAATGCATGAGTCCGAACAGGAGTTGGCTCCACAGGTCGCAGAGGACCACGTCCGACAGCTGCTAATCCTTTGATATACTCTTCGTAATTGCCCATTTGGGCAATTGGCAACTGGTGAAGTTCGTCTGAATAGGTATAATAGCTCGCTTATAAAGGGAGAGTATGCAAATCCTCACATAAGTGAGTTGATTTCGAAAAGTCCAGGCATTATTGTTCAAGACAGTTACAATTCAAAAAAGACTCAATTCTATCTTTCCCCAGATGTAAGAACACTGACCTGAATTATGGAGCTTCAGATCCACACCAGGAGGTCCACCATCCAGTACAGCAAAGGTGTTCTCACGTAGGGTCATATCCAGGTTTGCACGTAGCCTAGAAAACAAGAATTACAGGAAATCTACTAGCAGCGATCCAGCAACATACAGACGGAGGGGTCTCCATCCCTTAACGAGCAGATTCCAATCGAAACATAACGCGAAGAAAAAAGTAACCAATCGTCAGTTTCGATGGCACCTTATGTACTCCACCCAAACTCCCAGCTCAATGAAGCGAGAACAGAAGAAGTTTCAACTTCAAAATCGTGTGAGGTGTGTAAAGCTCTTATTGTGGAATTGACGGTTTTTTTTTCACTCTAAGAGGGACTTTAGTAAGTGCGCTGGTTTCTCACCAGAACTGTAAAGGGTACACTTCCCCATCCACTGGACATTATCAATCATTCTATTCCGTGTATAATATCTGATTGATGACTGCGTAGCCAGATTGATAAGGTCAGGAAGGCTTTGTCAGGAACCGGAAATGCAGATACTGTAGACCTGTTCATGGTTTTCAACTCTTACAATTTTTGAGACCTGGTTCTTTGACAAAGTAACACATTTCATCACAGTGCAAAGTTGTTGTCTTGAGCCATTACAAATATATAGTATCATCTAATGGAAACTTCAATATAGCAGCGCTAAACGTATACTTCGTCCAAACAGTATTAACAGTCAACAGTGCAGTCGCCATCTGCGCCATGGATATGAAAGGTTCTTGTTTGAAAAATCTGTAACTTTGAAGAGTTGAAAATTGTAGTTCTACGATGAATCATACAGCAGCCGAACTATGTGATTCTCACATTGCAATACTAGTGCCGAAGCTTCCCATTGAACTAGACAAAAGTAGTGATTGCGACGTGATTCTTCTTTTTTATAGAAAGTGGTAAGTTTCAGGTTCCTACAGAATCCGCTCTACTATAAGCTATGCTGGCATTGTTGTCTGTGAAACGACAAAATAGTCAAATCCTTCGCATGGCTAAAAAACGGTTGCATAAAGAAATGAAAGGCTGAGCGAAAGGGAACCGGCACGTTGCAATAAGAATTTTAAAAAGTAGTAGGGTTTTGCTTTTGCACACACAGGTCATTCATTTCCTTCTTTTCTTCGGAATGATTCATTACAGGAAGTAGCAGGCAATCAGGTTCAGGCAGTACAAAAATTCGGTACAGTAATTTCTCACACGGGGACTGTATTTTTTACCGTTTATTAACAGGGCTTCATCGAAAACTGCATGCTGTGAACATCAGCCCGTTATTCAGAACGGCAACAAATGATTTCAGTGGTCCCACTATGTAATGGCATCCATTCGCCGAACAGTAAATGACTGACCTAAACAATTAAATAGGCATAATAGGCAAGGCCTTCAATATTTCTGACATTTTGGACTTCTGATGTGAAATTCGAGGGTAAGCAGGCCGCGCGGATATGCTCCAGAAATTGGGTGTGGTTGGTCAATTGCAGATGTCATGTCAGTGGTCAAACCGGGAGGTTCTGCGGCATAAACCCGTGAACATCCGTGCGCGATTGGATTACCACAACATCAAGTGCTAATACGCACTCTCTCTCCCCGTTAACCCACTTTCTGTATCTCTTGCTGGCGCATCCTGTCCCCCCCCGATAATCTCACACCTGTGTTTTCGCTTTTTGTCGACCGCACACTGCCTTGTGCCACGTTTCATGGGCATGATAAATACTTGAGATAATGTTAAAACAATCGAAAAAAACTAATTGAGACGATACCTAAAAGGCAACTCTGCGACCATCTCCAGCGCTGGCACAATGAAAGGATTTCTAAAGCGACAGCCAGCCGGCGCTCGCACTCGAGGCTCACAGAGGTGTATCTGAATTCGATAGCCATAATTTACTCGAAGGACGCGACAGTAGAAATAACCATTACCAATAATAAAAAAAAAACTACTGGACGAGCCCACAACAACTCACGTGCAACTGCGTCCTCTGAAGTGATGCTCGCATCTTTGCCAATTCCGCTTCAGGATCCCTCATAGTTTCCGCCTCGCGACGATCTCTTCGTGACACACGATCCTTCATGCGCGAGTGAAGTGGTTGCCAATCGCGTGACGGTGTGGAGTACGGTAAACGTTCAACAGGCACCTACATTGGCACTACCTAGTGTCACTTTGGAAGAATTACGAGAGGCATAATCACTCCAGCCCCAATGTGTTCTTAATACTCGATATTTCCCGGTGCACAAGCGCAAAATAGCGCAAGAGCCGCAATAATTGTACCCAAAATAGCAGTCAACACTCACGATGTGTCAAGGTGAAGCACATGTTTTGATTGGGCCAACGTACACGAAAAAATGTCGTACACGTCTTCTCAAACTCTTCCTTTCCTTGCGTCTTCAGTTCATTCAAATAATTGAGCAGTGCTGCTGGATAAACTTGACTCAAAGAGACACCTCGCTCATCCAGCAAACTGGATTCCATTTTCATTTTCGTAAGAGCATTTCGGAGCGGCTGAAAAAAAAAGAATTTATGACAGCAAATCTCTCTTTGGTCGGTTTCCAGGCGAATAAGTGCATATAGTGGAAAAAGATCTAGAGTCACGCCACCGTAAGGCCGGGGTAATATGGCGCATAGCTTCCACATAGCGATCAATCGGGGGCATCGCCCAGTTGGCGGCGGACCATTACGAACTCGGGGATCGTTCTAAACAGCTATACAGCTTACAAACGTCATAGTTTAGAAAGAGCCATATGACAGTACAATTATGCATGAGAGCACTAAATAACACAAAATTGCCGTTTGCACTTTGTCAGGCTATTACATCCTATGTTATTTGAGTGGCTCCTCAGACAACTAGAGATGGTCTCATATGCTCGCATGGAAATGCAAATCTGCTCCTTTGAGTACAAGTATGACTGGATAATTTTAAATTGCCAATAATGGTAAAAATGGAGAAAAAGTAACTACCTTGTATTCCTCCAGCAATTGCACAGACAGAGAGTTATATGGCATACATGATACTAGGTTACGAGCTGCCTTCATTCGATTGCTGTCTTCAAATAGCCCGAACACGTTTACCAACCGCCCACTCACGTTCTACTGGAAAGATCGACAAAACACCTATAAATAAGCGTTTTCGAAGCTTGTTGCTCCTTTGACAAACATATATGATTTTGCCCATAGCAAACTCTGGTACGCAACAAGATCTTTAGGCTTTTAAAGGTCCTGAAGGGTATCTTGAGGCAACAAGTGATTTGATGTCCAAAAATTAATGAAAGCGAAACGTAATTTCTAGGAATCTAAATGAAATTGTTGACAGCCGAGCACACCAAACTGGCTGCCCGCTCGTCATTGCAGAAATCACGTTAATTGTCAATATGGAATTGCCATAACATTCAAACGTCAGAAGCCTTACTTTATGCGCTATACCAAGAAAGCCGGGGGTAGCGCCTATACCTAAGTGCAATAATGATCTATTGAGATGAGCTGCCAGCTGATACTACTTGACTGGGGTACCCAATTTTTCAATAGCGTATCATTACTTTGCTGAAGATCGCCATTCTCAACGACTACTTTCATCACCTCGCTGCGAGCTCCTTCATGCAATATAGCGAAACCCTGACGAAAGAGGTTGCGCAACCAAAAACAAGATCCAAAAAACGCACTAACTTAGAAACCCTGCAATATATGCAGTGATTTCTTCTCTTTGCTACCTAAACAATTATAAAGAGGTGCGGACACTTTGCCAGTCCTTGATCGATCACCAGGTAGCTTCCAAATTGGTCGATCAGATTTATGGACGTGCACAGGGTGAGCCACACCTGAGCTTGATCATGTGCACAATATGCCTTTACGCGGCCGATCTGACGGTCCAAAAAAAGCTCCACGACGACACTCGTTACTTTAGCTTGAAGGTTCGAGCTCTACCTCGAGGAAAAATAGTTCAAATGCCCTGCGATAGGTAGGAAGTAAAAAGTTCAACAGCCCCATTGAGTCACGATTGCAAAAACGAGAGGTTTCTCCTCTGGGCAATAAATGAAGTAAGATTGTACGTACTGTTTACTACCGTGGTCACTGACCGAGGTGATAATTGAAAGAATTCAACTTAATCTAAAAGTAATCTGAAAACCATCGTAGGTGTTTGAAGAGAGAGAGTATAAATATCAGAATACTCTAGTAGACGATTTGTTGGGATTGGTTTATTATATTACATGTAAAAGGAACTCACTTGATAACACATATTCGTCGATGTGCTTGCATGCCTATCCAAAACATATTCCGCTACTGGACTCGGTTCGAGCTGATACTTATCAAAAGGCAGATCCGTTTGAATCGTCTAAACATTTCACAATTACGGTTACAAGAAAAATTGTTCCTATGACGAGAACGCATTATGGCAAATTGCTTCCAGGGTTCATTCAGAGTGGACGCAGGATTCACTTCAAAATAACCTACTGTCACAGTATGATGCATAAGTGTGACTAATAGGTGACAATGAGAAAAACGACATGGCAAATGAGACTAGACAGATGGGAGATACAGATGGGAAATATTAAATGTGGAAAGCTCCTTTATAAGAATTAAGATAAGAAGGGTAGAGGGGGATAAAAAAAAGATCATCAGACAAAATCGCAGTGCAATTTATGAAAAGGAATATAAAAGAAGATTGGGAGGGTTGAGCCTAACCAGAGCCTCATGCCAGAACGATGATGGAACGTGAACTAAGGATAGCCCATGTTTCAAAAACGGCAAAAAGAGAAGGAATAGGGAGCAACTTCACACTTAACACTGAGTGCCAATGAAAGTTATGCTTTCAATTGCGATAGTTTAATGAAGCAGCATCAAAATGAGACTCATTATAGACGCCAGCATTCTAATCAAATCTACACAGGACAATTCGAGGATAAACTCGAAAAATCGCTAATGCAAGCTATTCCATAAACCATACCGGCAAAGCTATCGAGGCAGGCACAGATCGAATTGAGAAACAATACAAGATGTGCCCGACGTGGAGGTTAGCTGCCGCTTTCTGAAAATGTAAGTGAAATGAGACTGCGTTTCTGTGAGTTTACTACAAAGTACGTTCGCTGACGGATATAAATAATACTGAACAGTTGACAAAAAAAATTACTCGATACGGTCATGCCAGAAAGCCTCAGGAATGGGCCAATGTCCTGTTGGAGGTCTTCCACCGAGACCTTTGACGTAGACAAGTGTTAGCGGTTTTGCTTCCATATGGCTCTTTAGGCGCAGACGGCTTATCTCGATCGGTCATATCTTCATTCGTGCTCGCCTTACCAATAACTGTAATCAGCATATTATAGATCATAGGAAAATCTCCTCTTAACTCGAACTGCAAAACTTACTCGGCGAGGGGAACCTCAAAAAGCGGAACCATATATACGCGGCAACCATTCAAACTGGATAGCATCTGCACAATTTCGAAGCAAGCCATTGTCCGCATTTATTTTATGGTATTGGACGTCAGATATGAGCGACGACCTTGACACAAAAACTTCATGTGAAACACTGACGACAATAATTTGAAAGGTGCAAAAATAGCTAAAAATTCTAACACATCATTTAAAGGCATTTCCGCATAATCTGATAACTAGCAAAAACACACTGCGACCGCTAAACTAGCGCTGAGCATATTCCAACTAAAAGACTGGGGCTCCATCATGTTTGAATTCAGTTAATGGTAGGTCCGTGAAAATAAATCGATTCTGTGTAATCCTATCTCATTTGAGATTTGCACATTTCCCCTAAAATATATCCCGCGCCTTGAAAGCGTCGAACGCAGTGTCGCCGGTTCATATTTGCCCTCACCTTTGCGGGGGAATAGTATCTAACCGAATAGGGAAAAGTACCAATCCCAAAACGAGTAAGGTCCGGGAGAATGATTATGACAAGAGGCCCCATGACACTTTTTCGGGTATCGTTGTGTCTCGCCTCAGAAGAGTCGTTTGACAGCTATTTGCAAGCGAACACTGCGTAGACACCATACAAAAGTAATTGAACTTCACAGCTTTAAGCTTCTATTTACCGCTCCTTTGAAGCTTTGGACTGCATTTCTCGATACTCGCGGCCACCACGGTGAAGTGTTCTATACGCCAACCGAATGTCATGAGAAGCCAACTCTAAATATTCCTTTCCCATACGCTCGACTCCATAACAAACAAACAGTGAGATTACCGTCCAAAAAATCGTTCTCGAGTGACACTGCGTCGTGGTAAACAACTCTAGAGAACACCTTATTGCCGTTCTGTAGCCAACGAGGTATCAGGATTTGAATTATGTATTTTTGCTACAAGAAGAACAAACATTCGACGCAATAATGCCGAGGTCCAACACGATAACATGGAGACTATTTAAAAAGAACAAAATGGAAAATGATGAAGTAATTCCTACCACCGGTGGATGCGCAAATTGCTTCGATCGGCTGTCCGCCGTTTGGAAGTATGATTGGAGGGGATAAATTTACCCGCATCCCTTTCGATGGATAGGGGCTAAGAAACCTTAACAATGCGCCAAATATTGAGTAGGGACAGAAATAATCCAGATTCATAATCACACTTGAGGAACAAGCAGAACTCACAACAGGTAAACAAATGCTTTGGTCCCACACGAAAACGACTCGCCACTGGTCCATCTCAGGAGCCAGATAAGAGGTCTTCCGGTAGGGGCCAGCTGAAAAAGCAATTATGTATACATCTTTTAAATCACGCTTCTTTTAATATTGGTTTTCAACATTGATCAACCACGTAATCCCACGAACTAAGCCACAAGAATCTCGCGGTAATCAGGGAAATGAATGTTTTAGTTTGTCTTCATAAACATCGGACTGAGAGTACTTCTCTTTGCATACTGATAGCCGCTTTTTTGCGAATTACGAAGTTATACGACTTTAGAGTTTCCATACTGCACACTAGCATTTGAATGATTCGTAGGTTGCTGCTTACCAGCACTATAGCTCAATCAAATGTGCTGTTAACTTTTTTTTTCAATCTAATTAAGACTCAGCCGATTGGGAAGAGTTCACGTCCGGACAACAACTAACAAAAACCGAACAAAAAGCAGAGCATCTCATATATTCATCGCGACAAGCTCTTTGTTTGCCCAACTCCCAAGGTATTCTAGAATTACAGTTAAGGCGACATCAGTTTCCGAAACTCTAGTTCCAGCGCACACGTTCTCATATCCATTAAAAAGAACTTTGAAGGGCCTAAAAAATGTATGCGGTCAACACCTTCGGAGAGAGTTGAACACAATGAGTTTTGATGCTTTACATCCAACAAGTGCCCACAATTAGTACAACATAGTATAACAGTGATGGTATTCTCAGTAAATTTAGCTACTGAAAATTATTAGTAAAGATTAAAGGACCCAAATGTGAATCAAATTATCTAATAGAGGAGCCGCATGAACACCAGAAAGAAATTTCATTATTCCTAGCCGCAGTTCATCGCATAAGCCAAGCAAAATTGGAACCAATTAGAAGTACGAATGGAAGACGAATTCGTGGCGTGCTTAAAAACTCAAATCGATGCTGAAAACACCCATTCGCATAAGAATCATGGGGCGCTTAGACATGAACAAGTTACCCTAGCGTTTAGATGTGCTAATCCCCACATTTATTACAGCCATAGTTCGTTTGTGCGGCCATTATTGGCTGATCTAACTCTAATATATAACTGAATATTAACCCCCGAATCAATCGAAAGTACGCAAAAGCTTTTAGTGAGATCCTCCTTATGCCTCTATATCTTGTGAGGCAGATGATATATTGCAAGTCGTCCCTTCTGAAAGCCACTGAAAAGCCAAAAAATTCTAAAATCTCAACAGCACGTGCAAGCTAAATGACTTCAGGTAGAGAAGCGACATCCTTACTACGTTTTGTCGGAAATCGATAAACCGAAACTGACCCGAAAATCAGGAGGAATGTCGGAAACGGAGGTAGAGTCAGTGATGGCGAATAAAATGACCGGCTCAAAATATGTTGGGAATCGTCCGCATCCATAGTTATCTATCCCTGAAGGCAAAATTATGAATGCCTTCAATCCTCGACGTCAATAAATTAGCACTCCGTAAGACAGAAGCCTTCAAGCGTTGTGCCTACCTTATTGGTGCACGAAATCGATAGAAGGAAACATGCTACCACTAACCAGTTTGAGCACGATGAACATTGATAAATTTCAGGGCGTTCATAAATGCATCAGAGATCGATCCTCGCCCGCGTGGGCGTAACTTTTTCAACTGGTCGTGCAATACAGCGCTGCTCTCTCGCCATCCGGACTGAATAGCGAAGAATTAGGAGAAGCCTTCATCAGAATAAAAGCTAAAGGAATCGCACCTTAATACATGCCGGGTAATCCTCCGTTGTAATCAGGAAAAAGCGATCGTAGCCGCGCGTTGCAACATCCTTCATGCGTTGCTGCAAAAAGGTAGCAAAAAGGTTCGATTTTGAATTGCTGTATTCAGGAATTCTAAACCAGCCTTCTAATGGCATATACAGGAGCTCTACCTACCTTCTGCAGCGCATCGATTATATTGCGGGCCACGTCTAGATAGGATGTGCCAAGATAGGTCTTCTGTGCCATTGAGGCACTTGTGTCAACGATTAACAATATGATAGTCATGATTCATTGAGCGCTCGCCTCGTAAAGACAAAATGCCACACGTGACGACCACGCACCACCCCGAACCTAGACGAAATGAACCACTGCGAGCGCGCCCCGGGAAGAGGCGTAACAGCGCGGCAAAAAAATGTCGTCGTCTGCAATTGCACATCCCACGCATTGCTGCGACGGAGGTCGACGTGCGGCGCTTTTTCAAACCTGCTTTTCGTACTTTGTAAGGGCATATGCACGAAAGCGGGTACGGTTCGTTCGTTCCTCCTGGTTTGAGGTGTCCTCGAGAGTATATAGAAAACGGCGAACGGTTTCATTCCCTGTTGGTGGCTTGATTTGCGTT